ACTATGCATCGCATCTACAAAACAAACACACGGTCATCTTATATAACCTTCTCCTATACTAATTTTAGCCGAAGACGCCTCGGCTACTCATCGACGGTGACAACATAGTTACTTGGGAAACTCCAGCCCGAGCTTCTTTCAATGATTTCTTAGAAGCAGCAACAGTGGTGTTTTTTGAATCACCGGTTTTCCTCTCCAGCAGAGACTATATACGGCGATTCATCACATTGTGGTCCGGGAAGTTCGTAGTAGGATTGTAAGCTGGGATAAAGTCGCCAACATTTCCTCAGCACCAGTCTTGATCTTTTCCCATTCGCGAGCGTGAGAGTGCGCCGTAAATTTCAAAACATATCCCTAAACAATCGTTGACCCTCAGCTACATCCTTCCAGAAAAACCCTTGCTAAAGAGGTACGGATTGAATTTTGTACTTTTCTTTTCCAAAATTGACGATATCGCTCCGATGGTAGAGATTCTAGCGCAAACCATCATAAAAGGGGGAAAACGGCTACGAGAGGTGATCTGACTCTTCTCAACGGCTTCAGCACTCGTAATGTAAAAAATACGTATATTCTGGGATCTCTACACTCCTTCCACGCTGAACCCTTTAGTCAAAAAACAAATTGAGGAGAGTGCGTGCCGCGCGCAACTAATTCACGGCATTGGTTTTTTCTTTCCAACTTTTTCTGGTCAAGAAGCTTATAAGGCTTCCGAATCCTATCTGAATACCTTTGTATTTACTCGGTGTAGACTCTTCTCATCGAAGTAGAACATACAAACAAATCAGCAATCATTTTTCTCGTGTTTCTGCAGGCTCTGCGGCATATTTCTCCCCAGTATTTGGGAAAGGGGTCGTGTGTGAGACAAACGATCGTATTGAGGTTTGACGGTGACCTGTCTACCCATCGCGATCGCGAACCCAAATTGCGGAGGTTTGAAAAGTTGTTACCATATTTATGGCGCCCCCTGTATATGTAGGATCTTACTGTTTTTATGGTGTCGACGCGACTATACCTATCCCATTCGATCATGAAAATGTGTCCTCGTTAGGGAGGTCAAAAGTTCCTACAAAGGCTCTACAACCAATTAACATCATCTTGGGTTTTTTTGGCACGTGAGGTTTGTTCCGTAGTACAACAAGGTGTTATTCACGTACCCATTAAACGCTGGTAGGAGTTGAAAGCAGAAGATTTAATTGAGCAAACTTTTTTTCTGATAATACCACCCATTTCCAGGAAGTTACGCTAAAGAATCGTTTTACTCACAAGGTTGGCGATTTGTGAGCAAAACTCCAGTCTCGGACGGGGCTCGAACCCATACTTGTCCTTTCCGGAGACCGTCCTCTTATCTCTTACACTACCGAGACACAGTTGCCCTCGCCTTCTTAATGGCTCATTTTTCTTAGGTAAGACCACTGAGGGGAGGGTAAGGAAGAATGTCATAGGGACGATGGGTGTTCCAAACTAAGAGGAAGCCGACTGAAATATGCCAATGTCAAAAGGAGAAGTATCGCTCCAAATTAGGAATCCAATTTAGAATAGTTAGTGGTTAGTACGGGAAACAGCATCGATCGTGATAGTCTGTTGGTAAGTTTAAAGCTAGGCAGTAATGTCGAGGAACACGTGTCAAGGGAGGGTAATTCAAAGGGGTAAGAGAATACAAGGGTAAAGAAAATGTCTCATGCATATAGGGAGTTGAAATGTGCATTTGTCGACTTTTTTCAGATTTTTTGTTTGAATATCTCAATGTCAGATGCTCGAGGGACGCGAGGCGGCAAAAGCTGGAATCACCTTGCACACCAGTTAAATAGAAATTTGAACGTCCAGCTGTAATTCTTAGAGATCATTAGGAAGAGTGAAGATTGAATTCACCAAGCCTCCTGCGTGCCGGCCTAACCACAAGTCGCTGACTGTTTTACCTGTATCCGAAGTACACAAAAACAGAATATTGATTCCGATATTACTCGTCTATGTTGTATCTGTATATGCTGTACACATTGTATCTTTGAGCTTCCGATTACCTTCCCCGACAAAAGGCAAAGTTCTTAAAACTGCGAGCAACAATCTCATTAAGGCAAGGCTTACGCTCTGCATAGCCGTAGTAATACAGATGGACTACAAAATACACTCTCTTGATAGCGCTTCGGTATGAGTAGCAATCTTCGAACTGCTGGAGTATTGGCGAGTGGCGCGCAACGCATGATCCTGAAATATGTGGTATCCCGTTCAGTACACGCCCAAGCCAATCATGTCTTCTCTTCTCTTCGAGATTAGTGAATTAGTATCTGACACGGGGTTATGGAAGCACTGATTTGTACATCGGTTGGCCAAGCTGGAGTAGGCTACATACGCATTCAAGCTGCCACTACGGTTCTGAACGAAAGACAGATGGAGGGGAAGTAGATGCCACTATTGACGGCTGAAGAAATGGCTCTCATTCACTTGTATCAACTTAAGTATGTGATCCTCCGCGATTTGAAACAGGGAACATTGTAGAAGGAACGATTTAAAGTATAAATCATCCTATAATCATATTCTTAATCATATTCTTTTAGGCTTTTGATTCGGTGGAACTACTTTGTCCAAACCAACTCCTCCCTTGACGAAGCGGCAGTAAGAACTTTGTCATGGCCTCGTGAGTTTTGTAAACCGCTCAAAATGGCTAGAAAAACATATTTATTCGTAAAGTTAATAGTACAGTGGCAATCGAGCAAATGTATGAGGGCGGTTGGGTTACAAGAAAGGATACGTGGCTTCATCATGGAAGAGCCAGATGGGAGATCTCCGACTCGCTGTGCATGCAGTGAGCAAGCGGTTCCTATTGGGAAACGAGAACATCCGGAGATAAAATGTACCGGTGAATGAACCGTGTAAATGTGGCTACAGCTATCGGGTGATATTAGGTGACATCCTTACTGAAACTTAACCGCCATCGTTTGTTCTTGCTGCTCTTGCTTTTGTCTCGCAAGGCACTCTTGGGATACGGGGTTGGAGTTGTAGTGACTAGCCTAGGCACTCGTGGAGCCACTTCCACCTGTAGAGCTCCTTCATTAGTATCTGCTTGAGATTCGGCAAGACGGCAAGTTGACAGTTCCCTGCAATAGGCAAGTGGTTCAAGAACGAGGCGAAATGCAGAGCTTGGAAACCAGTACCTGATCATTCCATCTACGGCCTCTTCACCGACAAGGTTCAGCGATCGAAGAGACCTCGTGTCTTGCTGTCGGGCCTGAACATATCGACCTAACAGCAGAAAGTCCCATTTGTCGTAACTCACCGTATCAGGACGAGGATTGAAGGATCGTACAGAATGACGATCGGCTTCGCTCAGAGTCTCCATCATCTCTTGATACAATTCGTTCCAAACAACATCAGCCACTTTTACACCGGGAATCGGCTCGATGATCTGCACTGTTTTTGTTCCATAGAGCTACAACAAATCCCCCTTTTGAACACTGCAAACTCGAAGAATCGAAAGCCAAAAGCGCTGTGACAACACGACGGGGCGGTCGCGAAGCCAAGAGCGTGGAAGATAGATGGGTATATTTGTATGAGTGTGACAATTCTTGACTCTGGTCGCTATTAAAGGACGCCTAGGAATGAATGTGCCCAAAGGGAATTCTGGCCATCAATCCGAAGATGAAGTAGGCTGTCTCTAGAGCGATGACATAGGCATTGCAGTGAATAGAAAAACGGGAGATAAAACCTGGTCTGAACGCCAAACAGCCCGTGAGAATGTACCTTTTGTTCGAGATCGATCATCTGTTGAAAGAAGCCGACATTTGGACAAATGATATTGCGGCAGTACTGCACATGCTTGTATGCATCGTGTAATGACATCCTAAAGGGGTTAAACTCTATACTGCTCGGTTTTTGCCTTAGAAAATGTTGAGCTCACTTTTCTATGCACATCAAATAGGTTATGGCAAAAGTGGCTGAACGAGAAATACCCATTGCACACAGTAGAAGCACCCGTCCGGCCGACTTACGAGCATCGTCGATCTCCTGAAACAGAGGTATCACGTGGCGGATTGCCAGGCCGCGCCGATAACGTGGTGATGGTCGCGGGTTCGGTGCCCGGCGGTGATGAGATTCGTGCGATCTTTGAGGGCTGAAGAAGCGCGTGGTCTGAATAAGACCGAACCCAACGTGGCCTTCAGTTCAGAAGATAACATCGTGCAAGGTCCGAGCCGGTTTTAGTTTTGGGGCATGTGAGCATCGCGGAATACTGGACGCAGACTGACACAGTGCGATTCAAAACTTTTCACAATTTTACTTAGCAGCCCCTTTTGTTAATACCGAGAGTCCTTAATGAAGAAGGATAGCCCCTTCATTTTTCCTCGATAGCCTTTGTCCCTACACAAACCCTGCACTTGAGCAGTTCCGGGTGAGGAAGAGGACGAGTAGGTAAAACTTTTAAAAGGCTGGGATCCTCTAGCTGATATGACATAATGGAAAGCTTTTCAGGCAAACCTTGAAGACGGTGGTGAAGAATGGTGACAAGTCAGTAGCTTCGTCGTCCAACAGTGGAATATGCAACACTTTCATATGATTCGGAGCCGAAATACGAAATCCCGGAATCAGATTGATCGTCGTGCAAAAACGAGCTGGAATTGAAGAATCCTTGTACCATGATTACAGTTGCTCTCCCTGGGACAGAAGCTACTTCTGATCACATGCCTTTTCTAACTTCTTCACTTCTCGTCAGAATGATTTTGAATCCTTCAGAACCTCTAAGTCAATTTGTTTTTGAATGAATTCGCTTTCATGAAAAAAAAGTTCTCACGATGCCATTAAGGCGTCAACTTACAAATCCATCGTTCACTATCATCAGACATTCGAGAGACTTTGGAGGTCGAGAAAAGCAGGGAATTGGACTATAAAGGGTTCTTGAAGCCAGTCCAAGAAAGTAGTTTGGCTCGTGAGAAGCGAAAATAGGAATATTTCAAATTGACCACACTCTGATTTCTATAGATACGTAGTCAGCAGCGAGTTCTGCGGTTGGGCCAGTCTGTCGATGTTCACGAAATCAGCGAGCTTTCAGGAAAAACCCCCAGCAATATTTATTGAGCTGTCGCGGTGTTCACTCTAAGCTACTGATGTAAGAATGGAAAAGGGAAGGTTAACAAAAGTGTGCAATTTCGTAACCTTTGGTGCAATAGAAGTACTTCCGCCAAAAGCAGTTTTACGTTGTGTGTGCGTGGTGCCCCCATGTCCATAATAGCCGTGTTGGTTAGATGGCAAGCGGTCATGGGGACTTCCGGATACATTCTTGGGCTCAATAGCCAGCCTGCTGCTGCACATTCACCCAGTCCCTACCGGATCAACTGACTTGTTTGTTTTCCTGACACATCTATTCTACGCTATTGCCGAAGTAGGGTTCTTAGAAAGCACTCTCTCAGGTGGTCTTCAAGTTGTCAAATAAAAGAAATGTCAAATAATGCGTGACGGAGTTTGACCGCCATAACTTGATGACAGCCCTCCGTCACACATCATTTCATTCAAGAAAAAATGAACTTTCCACGTTACCGGGGCCAAATCTGGTTTGTTCCGGAGCTAGGCAACAATTATTTCATGGTTCACTGTCCAACGAGGACTTCCATGACATGTCCGTATCCCATTTATCTTCTTCCCATTTCCTTTTCTCGAATATGTTTCGCTGACGTAAAGCCACAAAGTTCAGATAAGAAAAGTAATTTCAGGCAAAACACTTTTCATGACGAAATCTCGTCCAAACACAAGTATTCTTGCAATTTAATTGCTCCTTTGGATTATTAAATTCCGAGCATGACCTATAGTCATTTTTGTAATAATAATCATTCACTGGTCCGGGAAAGCTCTAAATCTATTGAAGACTTACAGAGTGTTCGTGGTGACAGAGCGGCCAATCCGCCAACGTAGAGGAACGGTCGAATCTGGCTGCATTGACGTGATTCACGACTGATCACTCGCCGAGACGTCATGGCGACGATAGCACTGTTCACCACTGTACTGCTCCTCGTCCTGTACCGTTTCACCGAGACTCTCAAATGCTACTCGTGCTCCTTCTCCTTCAATGAACTCTATGATCTTGATCACAGGTAACTTTAGAATGCATAAAGAAGCGAATCAATCGGTTTTCTGTGAAATACACCAAAAAATTTGATATTTTCGAGTGGGAGTTTGATAGAGAGCATAATGACAAAAACGGAAATGACACTGAGAAATAACACCGTTCAGTGAACCGAAAACCAAGAAATATGATCAATAATACGGATCAACAGCAATAGCAATGACAGTAGACGCGAACCCTTTGATACACACATTCAAGATACCGTCGGTTGGATATTTGTTTTTTGAAGCGAGTTGTTGTTGTTGACAGCCAATGTCGACCTACCGTTTCCATCATTCCAAAAAAGTCTGACAGCACGTAATTAATCGCAAAAAGCTAAATTTAGTAACTGTTGGACATATCCCAAATTACCACATCCACCATCTGTGTATGCCAGAGAAAAAGGACGCGAAAATCGGAAAATGTAAAATCCAATTACTAGGAACAAACTTGCAGGAATCCTTCCCGAACCTTTCTCCCACTCTTTCCCGACCTCCATAGAACAGGGAGAAACGCGAAAAAAAACTCCCGTTACGCGATATCGTGGTCTCGCGACCTAGCAGAATATTTGAAGAAATTTATCGACATTGCCACGGAGCATATGGATTCGAGTGACAAATTGCCTGGGCGGTCCCGAAGCGAATGGTGTATGTGTGAGCGTGTGTGGTTGACTACGGTGTGCCATCGAGAAATACGTCATTTAGGGATGCATGGTGTGCGAACGAATCGCTGGTGCTGTTCGACACAGATGAGACGGCAAAGTCGTGTGCCTCATGGGAGAAATACTGCGTGGTGAGGAATGCCAACAGATACGGCCGGTGGTAGTGCCCAGAATGGGCCTGGACTGAGATTTCTCGTGGCGATAAGGCTCAGTGATAAAGCTTTCTTCCTATTGCAGACCGCTGTCAATACCATCAACAAGGCATTCACTTCGGTGAGTCGCGGATGTGGAGAACGATGTTCGGAACTTTGCGAATCGGTAGGATATGGTCATGATCAGGTAAAGCAGAAATTCTTTTGAACATTTGCCTATGTCAAACAGGTGTCATCTAGGCACCTTAAAGGCGCAGTTCATGATAATTTCGAACTACCCTTTATAAGTTGAAAAGCGGAAGTACTGGGTGAGAATAGTGCTTCGGGGGTGAAGGAAGCGAGCAAATTCGCGGATTCTGTGAGAAACAAGGCTCCTCAAAAGTAGTGAAAATAGAGGTTGTACGAGACCACCATGACGGAAATGGCATGGAAGAGGTATTAGGACGAGATTTCAGTCGTTGCAATTGCTCAAAGAGTTGACTACATTGAGCCAAAACTCCAGAATTGCCTTTCGCTGTCGTTATGGGTCATGACAAGTTTGAACTTCTTACATGGGTTCCCTGTGAATGGTGCCGCCTCTACCATGCCAATGAAACTCGTCCGCGCACACATACGGAACAATCTTTTGGCCTTTATCACACCCTATCTAGGCCCTTTTCCGACCTAACAGAGCCATTCATGGTTATGATAGGACTACAAATATAGGGGGATATCCCATAAGCCATTTTTATCGTGAACTAGGCCTTTAAAGTAATTACAGATATTTACAGTCTGGTATTATACTTCCAAAAGATATAAGATGGAACGATTAGTTTTGAGCTGTGCAACCAAGATTTCATATCCTTTTATTCGGCTTACGTTTCGACGTTATCGCCTTCATCGGAGCCTCTAAAGAGAAATGCCATTCAAAGAATTACTCGACCAAGCACTATTTCAATCTGTAGAGGGAGTTCAGCGGAGACGTAAAGCACTGTTACAAAGTCAGTAATAGTTAGATTAACTAGTCTTCAGGAAGAGGTTAAAGTCACAAACGGAAGAAAAAAGAGCCGAGATTCATTGAGAGTCTATGTTGACTTTGAGTTTGTTACTAGATAAATTTGAGATCGAGTAAATAGAGTTAACCCATTGTCGAGAGAGATCATTGCGGATAAGGGGCTTTCCATACTGCAATAATAGGGTGGGGCACATATTGTAGTGGCGCGGCAACTACAATTTACCCCCTATCAAAAACCATCCAGTATCACCCTTCTTGGAAAAGGATGTGACTATCGTCGAAAGCAGTTCGATCTCATCTTGCTTCTTATGGTGAGTAGACGAAACAGCAAAAATTTTTCTCAACGACTAAACTTCAACCCAACTTTTTACCTTTTGAATGCAATCATCTTTCTGAGGAATGACCACTTAAAATGGCCTAAATGAAACCTGAGCTAAGGGCTTGGGACCAGCTGCTGATGCCTTTGAGTTCAAATTTGAGACAGCTTCATCTTACGCGAGTAGCTAGTATTGAGATATTTTTCCATCTTCAAAGTTCTCATCGATTACACCGAAATCGGTAGACGGATAAGGGAGGGTAATTTGGCATTGAGACCAGGCTCATAAAAATATTTGATGATACTTTATTAACGAAGGATCCGTCTGAAGTTAAGGTTGTTACTCACAGTATCTCACCACTTCGAGCTGGTAAGATACTGCGAATAGCAAGCAACGTCTGTTCATTTGTTTAAAGGCACGATAATACTGCAGCTGAAGAGAAATAGTGGAAGCTATGGCACAGAATAGTGTGGAAATGGCGAAAAAAGCGCGAAATGGCGAATTTCAATAAATAAAAAGCTTCAATAAAGTATTTAGTAAGAATGAGGCTGTACGAGATTATGGGTCTGTGACTGTTTGGATGTCTCTCACTTCACCGTACTATTCCTCAGTGTCCTAATGTTCCGTTGTTAATGGTGTACCTTTACAAGGCCGTCATAACGTGCCCACTTTTGGTATGTGCCTCGGCGGTACTGCTTTCGAACACCATGTCGAAGTTGTTTTTCAACCCGATAATGCCCCATGTGTTATCCTTGAGGGCAACTTGAGGGTAACGGATTTATCCTAGTGGGGAATTCAGGAAACCTAAGGAAATTCTTGTCGGGAACTAGACAAATCAGTTTTTACATCGCTGAAATGCTAATGCCGATTTCAAATTCTTCGTCATGATCATCTTTTAAGCCCCTCCTTCCTTGGAGCTATTAGGGTACCGCAACGGTTCGTGAACATTGTCAGCCTCCGCAAACCTGAATTCACTCCAATTTAGGTATTTTAGCTTGAAACCCCCTCAAAATTGCCCAGTAAACCGGCATCTAATTAATATTAGCAGTTTCTAACAGAAAAGGGAACTATTCTTTCTAAACATATCGTGGCTATAAGATAGAGAATAAAGTAGCCAAATGACCTACATTCAAGGGTTATCCGAGGGCCTTCATTACTGCTCCACACTAAGTTCACCCTGAATTCAAAAGTAAGCTCTCAAATTGAGTAAAAGTTCATTCAAAAATGAGTGAGGACGATAGAAGTCACATCTTGCCGGAATGGCACTGAAGAGGTAGTTTTCCGGATAGGAATAGACTGCTGTTTGGAACAATCCATTAGTGACGCCTAGGCGGGAGAGGAAGTCGGAGTGTTTGTTTTTTGCTGTTGTTCTTGTTTACGGTTACTGAATCAGTTCAAAACCCTAGAGACCTCGGCGTCTTTTAGTGCCCTCTCGTTAAGAACTGACATTTTTTCTAATCACCTCTTTTTGGGGCGTGGGTGGCGAACAACTTGCTGTTGCCCAACGGAAAAAGCTGGTCGGGCTTCAATTTCTTCAAAATGACCCATTACCTTAAATGGCTACCTATAAAAACGTCTCTAACCGTACTGTAATGTCCAAATTAGGGGCCAGATGAGCTCCCGCACAATCGCCCTTGCTACCTCACTTCTTGTTACCTTAGGAAATTGTAAGAGATTAGCTGTACTCGAGTGGGATAACTACTGGGGTATTGAGGTATTCCCGTGTACTGTGGCGGGCGCCACTGTTGGAATAGCTTTGCTACTAAACTTACCAAGCAGAAACAAGCGTGTCAATAGGAAAAATGAATGGACTGGAAGTGTCACCCAGTTCAGCAATGGGGAGACCACTAGGGCCACAGCAAACTGCAGTCCATTGCTGAATAGCCGCTTGGACTCCGCCCATCGGCTTCAACTACACTCAGGATGGCCACCAGTGACACCAGTTGAACTAGCTTCACCCATAGAGACTTTTCCATGGCATGCCCATGCCTTATAAAGGAATTTCCGATAAAAAACTCCCTCAATAACCTTGAAAAAAACTCTCGAAACTCCCTCAAATTCAGAACGGAGGTGACGCAGTTCCAAGTGATGCCGTATAGCATGTATAACTCGGGAGATCGGATCCCGTCGATACCCACCTATGCCAACCGAAAATTCCATCCTCCCAATCAGTCATTCAGAACGAAAATCGTCTGGGAGGCAAAAGTACTTGCTTGTGCATGGCTGGCATAAGGTTATACAGTCAATGAAGAGACCAAATACGCTTTCAAAACGTTTCTACGATTCTGAATGGAAAACGAATGCCATGCTCATCTGTTAATTCGGCCATCACCACAAATCCTGGCACTCAAATATTGTCTATTAGCAAAAAGATATGCGAATCAGCCCTAAAGTGGAGCTCAGAAGGAAGTTTGAAGAGAGAGGACCAGAGCCCTTTCCGTTCCACATCTTAGGGAGCGTCCACAACAGCTTAGCGATATTTCAATGCGTGAAAGTACTTCCCCAAAAGAATTCCATGTCACGAGACAGACATCATTTCGGTGATGTTTATTTATTTTATTTGTTCATGCACCCCAGAGGAGACGCGCTGGATGATTGATATAACGCGGATGTAGCAAGCGTGAACATCCTCTGCAGTCCGAAACATTGAGCTGGGTCACAGCTGAAGTCTAAAACCCCTAAAAAAAGGAAAAAGACCAAAAGGGACACAAAAAAAAGTTGAAGAAACCTTGCAATTTGGATATGTAC